TGGCACATTCAGCCCTGAGCGCAGCACGCAGCCCACTGAGTAATTGAGTGGGTTTGTTATCTCCTCCATGGAGGTGTCTCTGTGAAAGCAATAAAATATTTGCCAGGTAATCTGCACAGTAGCTAACAATAAACATTTAGACCAAGCTCCAGTTATCACTGTGTGAGTACTTGGTTATCCTGCCAGCACCCTCTGCAAACAAGCTGGCTCCCTAAACGCCCTTCGTTGATGATAGTGGCCAGAACTGTAAAAGCTGCTACTGAAAACCTGCTCAGCATCTCATGAACAGGATCCTGCAAAACCGTGATGCAAATCAGCAGGTGAAGAAAATCCCATGGGATGGATCTCAACGAGAAAACCTACCCATTGTACTCCTTCTGTATTAAAACAGACGCATACAGAATTAATATATAGGCTTGGCTTGAGCCTCATATTTTTATATTTTTCTGAAACCAGATCTGTGTTTCAAGCAGGAACAACCAGAAAGCATTCTTAGCAGAAATGGCTGGCATTTGTAAGGATTGTCCATGATGACATGAGGCATGAAAGGCAGGGGCCTAGTCCTCAGGGTCTGGGAGCTTCTTTCCTTGTCAGTAGCTATTTGTGTACAGATCTCAGTCTCTGCATTAATTTTTTTTCCTTGCTTTATCTACTTTTGGGCCTCGGATAACTCTGAGAGATAGATATTTCTATGTTTGCAAGATTTACTGCCTTTATCATCTTTCCTTTTAAATCTATCTGTTCTGTCCCACAGGTACCAGCCACCATTTCCCCCCCCCCCCCCAACTAGCCTAACTAGTTAATACAATTTAGTTAAACAAGGAGATTTTTCTTATTCTCCATCTGTAATGAGCCTGAAGTGTACTGCTTCCATTTCAAAAACGAAGAAAAGCTTGTCTGTTTTTTTGGTTGTTTTTTTTTTTCTTCCAGGTGTATCAATTGCATTTACAAAAAACCAAAAAACTCTCTCCGTGCTTATGTGTTTTGCAGAAAACAGAATGAAGTGCAGACCTTTGATAAATAGGGTCGTATGTGTCTTCGAGCATTTATTTCAAACATCCTCTCTGTTTCAGCCGCTTAGCTTTTCAGGGAAGCGTTTCCGTGCTAACCTGTTAGTAGGGACGGGCTTGGCAACGAGCCCAGCTCGGGGGAGCTGCTGCATGTCCGCTCACCCTGGCGCTGGCTTAGCAGTGCTCCCAGCACATCCGCAGGAACTGTGTCAGCCCCGACCCGTTTCTAAGCCCCAATCTCAATCTCGTGATTTAAGTCACAAGGCCCATCGTTCTTCCCTGGGGCTGGCTCTTCACGCTAACTTAATTTGCAGTTGGGGTGGTTAGCAAAGGAACAATTGTTCTTTTATTAGTGAATGGAGTTTCTGGGTTTTCTTCTGTTGCTGGATACCACCCAATTCAGGACACTCACTTGTATTTTACTTCTGAAATAAGGTGCAAAGATGGGCTGAAAATGGAAATATGAATTAGTGGGAAAGCAGTGTTTAAAAAGAAAATGCTTGTTATATACCAGGTACGATATAACAACTATACTTTCTCCTCATAGCCTTCTTCAAAAGTTGGGAGAAATCAAGCTGGAGTGAGTTTCTATGTCAATTTAAACTGAGAAACAATTACATACTAATATAAGGGCAGGCATGCAAAGCAATATTTAACTTTATGTCTGTTTCTTCATGTACCTGATATTTTTATGTGTTAAGTTTTACTTTTGTGTCATGGTGGTACCTGCCAGAGGTGTAATATAAAGCATCAGCTTCCTCAGGAAATGGAAGCAGAGTTGGAGCATCTTCATCCTGACAAGTGCTCAGAGCTGGCAGATGCTGGGTTTTCCTAACCTCCTGGCAGTTTCGGAGGCCGTCCTTGGTGTGTCCCCATTCCCACCGCTCTCCAATCACTAAAAATGAACTCTGTGGCTCTTTAATTATCAAAGTGCTGCATCTCCTTTTCTCAGCTGTCTAGCTGCACTCTGACGTCCTGCAACTGGCAGTGACGGGAAGCTGTGGCCCAGCAGAATGAGGGCTTCCTCTTGGTGACCCCAGGCCAGAGGTGCCCTGTGGTTTGCTGGTGTTGGATAGCTCTGAGCAAATGCTCTGAATGGGCACGGCACTGGGAAGGGAAACTTCCAATTCCAGTCTTACAGTTTCAGGAGGACTTTTTCACCAGATCCAGCCACTAGAAGTGATGTTACTCTCCCAGAGCAACGCCCTTCCGCCAGCTGAGGACACTCTGGAGTGAGATGTGCTTCAAGACAGTTTCTTTTCAATCACTCGCTTCCCTTTTTATGTGCCTGGGACATGTAAAATGAAACCACCTCTTATTTTCTTGACTTTTTTTTTTTGAGAGAGAGAGGTTCCCCCAGCTGAAATCTTGGTGGTCCCCCGGCAATGGGGACTGTCCTCCTGGCAGCCAGCTGAGCCCAGGAGCAAGAGAATGTGGGGCTGCACTGTAGCCAGGCTCTCCCAGCCTGCAGCTTACCCCTTGTGCCTTTGCCTTTTCTGTCAAACCACGATACTACTAATTCCCTCTCTCTCCTCAGAATAAACCAGTTGCAAGGTAGCTCTGATACTCTAGAGGCGACTGAGAACGTGTAACAGCCTGGAAAAATAGCCTCAGTGCAGGAGGTCAAAGTGGGATGCTAGTGAAGGAAAACCACAGTTCACACCGAAGAAAGTCACTGCTTTCTCTAACTGCGCTTCGGGTTTGCACGGGTTGTTTACTGGAGCATAACACTGGCTCAGACAAGATCTTGATCGCTCTTTAGGTACCAGTCACCCATCAGCCCACAGACTGTGGGCTTTATCATTTAATCATCAACATCTACCAAAACTACAGTTGTTGGTAAGGCCGGCTACCTAGCACTAGATTCTCCACTTTTCCTGTACAAACACAGGGAAAAAAAAATGGAGAAAGGCTAGCAGTTGGGATTGTCAGCAGGTTTTGCTATGAAATTGTACTTACATCAAGGCAACTCCTATGTTCTTACTCTGATACTAAGGTACTGCGGATACTGGTTTAACTGTCAGCATGAGAGCTGGGAACTTGGTCACTAGGCTGTGTTATACCTGCTGTGACACGACTTTTATTTCAGCATGTCTCTAAACAAGTGGTCGTTAGAAGCCCTGCAGTTACACTGGGAACTGCCACTTCGTGTGTGCTGCACTCTTGCTCTGTCCCTAAGTATTGCTTTGGGCCAGCTGGAAATGGGACGGGGTTATGCATGCTCTTTCTCCTGATGCTGGGGTCACTGCGTTTCTACACTACCCTCACGATCTGCTTGGTTTTAAGTTTTCTACTTCAAAAAAATGCAGTAGAGTTCTGCAATGTATTGAAGACGTCAACATTTGTGTTCTCACAGAGCCTAGGTGTATCGATATATATTTGTATGTGTCTTTTTGCTGGAAGAGAAAGCAAGTTTGCTAGCTTTCACAGAGCACACAATTACATTCTCCGGGATAAGGCTGCTTTGTCCATTACGTAAACGCTCTCAGTCTTTTCTGGTTCCTCTGTGGTCTCCAGGAGTTAAGTGTTGGTTGTGTCCTGCTGTTGATAGCCGAGATTCAGCAAGCACATGACAAAGAGCAGAATAAACAAGTACACGGTGTACTTGCTGATCCTAGCCTCTTGTCACTGTTACAGCCTTAGAGAGTGTCAGATAAAGACCTGTGGAAAGAGCAGTTTAGCAGTTTGATACCTGAAGCAGTACTGAAATCACATCCCGACCCCTGGGATAACCTGCTCTGTGTAGCTCTCTGTCTGCCTTTATTCAGCCTGTTACCTCTTTATGAATAATAGAACATGGTTATAAGTTTTAAAAACAGCTTCCCCCCTCCCCGCTCAGAGTATTTTTAACTGTGATCTATGTCCTAATTTAGTTCACAAAGCGTTCTTCATAAAGTTGTGTACAAGCCCAGCCAGGAGCGGAGTGAAAATGAGCAGCTGGGGCAGGAGCTGCCTAAGGCAAGACTGTCGCCAAAAGAAATGTCCATATAATGAGGCCTGCAGGAGACAGGAAGGCTATCAAGGATCAGCTGTAGTTCCAGTTGAAGTGACGGTATGTCTTATACTTAAAGTGACCCGGACCTCAGTTTTCACCCTCTTTAACATAGTTGCACATTTCTCTTAATTTTTTTTCCTCATAGCTTAACAGATGCAGGCTTATTTCAGAGCTAATTCAACTATGATGGATGTGCTATGTGGATAGCTAAGAAGTATACGTAAGAGGGAGAGTGCAAATGTGAAATGAGAACCTTTCAAAGTAAAGGAAATAGGTGTAGCAACTGCTTGGTGGCAGTAGCTCATCTTAGTTCCAGGGGACTATGGATAAACAGGGGATAGGGATGAGCCAAGCGCTGCATACTGAACAATGGCATTTTGTAAGTTGTGCCATTGAAGATTATCTGTCTGTAAATCAGGCATTTTCCCATTCATGTAAGAACTGAATTGCCCAGCAAGGTTGCTGTGTTTTCATCTTTATTAGTAACCCGAGACAAATATAATCTGGAACCTAAAAACGCTGCTTCATACAGCACAGGACTTCTTATCTTGTCGACCCTGAGAAGAGTGAAAGCACCTGCAATAAAACCTCTGGCAGCAAATCCAGATAAAGGCATCGCGAAAGTTGTCATGAAAATTTTCAGCCTTGGACAACTCCAGCTACTGTGACGTCAGACGTCTGGCCTTAGATTAAATGGGGGGACTGACACAATCGACTTATTTTGTTAAAGTCATAAAGTAAGTAGCTACTGCTTAATAATCACGCCACTGTTTCTACATTTACATTGCAGAAACTACAGTTAAATAATTTTTACATTTGTTTGCAAGGAGAAATGAAACTTTTTTTTCCACCAGCCATTCTCACAATTTCTCATGTTCTCATAAAAAGGGATTTTTCACAGAGAGTAGGGTGTTGAAATGCTAGCATCCAACAACACCTTGAGCTGCCCTGTGTTTCCAGTAGACAGATGAGCAAGGTCTGGTGTGGAAGTACTTTTAGCTGCTCTTTTGGTGTTTCTGTACACAAGTGAGGTATTCCTGCACGTCATCTGGAGAACCAAGAATAAAAGGGACCCTTTGGTGAAGAGCCTCGGGTTTCACATCCAGCACGGCCTCAGTCCCTGTAGTGGCCATCCCACCTGCCTGCTCAACGATGAAGGCCATGGGGTTGCACTCGTAGAGAAGCCGGAGCTAGAAGAAAAGAGGAAGCAGGCACTTGCGTTTGGGGAAATAACACCAAAGAACTTGCCAGAACTTAACCTTACTTCTGCGATTTTTGGTAAATTTCATATTGAACTTCCTCCCCTTTTTCCTTCCTCTCCTCTTCCCACCTCCCTTCACACCTTCTCTCCCGAGGAATAGCACGCTGACTGCACAACCAAGCATCCGCACCTTAGTTTGCAAGCTGATGCAGTGGTGTGCAGCACCAGTTAAGCTGTATTTTGTCAAAAATATCAAAGTAGCTGCTGGGGTCACAGACGATAGTGATATGGTTAAGCTAGGAACAGCAACAATACCGGGGAACAAAAGCCAAAGTCTCTTCTTGTGTACAGGCTTTATTTGTTATCCTGAAGCTTGGGGTAATTGTGTTGTGTTTGGTCAGGATATTTTGGAGTTTGAAATTCGATGCTCCTGGTCTTGTATACCAGGTTTCGATTGCAGCTCTTCAGAAATGTAAATAGATACTAGTGGCCTGCACTCAAGCAGACAGCGACTCTGTTTTAGAAAGTAACTACAGTAATTATTAAAAGTAAATTTTCACTTTTAGTATGAAGGCAGTTGGACCCTGATATCTGTTCACATCATTAAAAATATTAGCCTCTGTTATGCCTGTATTCCAGCTGAATACAAAGTTATTTAGGACATATACCAAAAGTTTCTAAGCTTGAAAGGGTACAGAGGATAACTGGCTGTTTTTTGACAGATATTATTTCTATAGATTTAGCTGAATGTTTCATTGGCCTTTTCTGAGGTGCTGATGTACAATAATGGTAGTAGAAATCATGTAAAGGCTTTCTGTATGCGCAAAAGCCAGACAGTTTTCTGGAGGAAAAGGAAGCATGACAGAGCACAGCCATACACAGGGACAAGGGGACGGATTGAACAGAGGCCTTTACCATCTCTCATTCCTCTGTCACCCTGCTTGTAATAAAACTGTGATAAGTCACAAACTTAAGCAGCGCACACTGCCTTCATTCTGGTCTTTGAAGCATGCTGAAATGCTGTTTGCAGTAGAGGAGTCCATGTGACAGGCAACGTGGAACCAACAGCCTTGGTGGCTCCCCTTGGAGCATGGCCACCTTCTGAATGGTTATGAGCCAGAACGCCATAGTGGTATCACTGAGGAGCCACGTGCTGAGTTTCTCGTCGCTTCACTGCGACACGGCATGGCTTTCCTGCCAGTAGTAATGAAACTTGGCTTAGAACTGGAACCTTCTGTCTTTTGATGGGCTTAACATTTTTAATGTAGCAGAGAACTATCACAAAAATATTATTTAACATTTCCAGTTTGAAGAGAGCATCTAAAGGTTGGCTGGTTCTGCATTGCTTACTTCTGTATAGTGAAGCCAGAAGATTGACTCATCATTTTATGCTCACTTTCTTTAATTTATGGGAAGCAATCTATAGGCTAGGGACAACATGCATATCATTTACATTTTGACTAAAACTTTTGGATCGAATCCAGTCGCATTTGCTTCCTTTCAGCTCCTATCTAAGTGCATAGACCATCTTTCAGGGGAATGATTAGGGTGCCAGACACAAAGCGTCACCTTTCCAAAAAGAAGTTTGTGTGAAATGATAGCAATACAGCACTCCTATATGCTGCAGACAACGCAAGATGGGAACTGGGGTCCTGAACCTTTGCTTCAGAAATCCATTAACCACTCCATATATTTTTTTCCTGTAAATAGTAGAAAGCCCCTGCTTCTGCTTTTGAATCAGTTTCACAGCACAATATGGTTCTCTTTGCTCCAGACAGAATTTTTGCGGGTTAGTAAAAAAAGCAGCATATCTTCTCAGCTATTTTGAGAGGCTAAGTACATTATTATCACCTGGACTCTGAGAAGGAAAGAAAGGTTTTATATGTAATGATAGTAGTTTTGTTTCTGTCGTTTCTCTCTCCTGTGGCAGCACAATGCACATCGAATAGCCGATGCAGGCTAATGCATACGGAAATCTTGACTTCTATTAAAATCCTTATACTTTGTACATTTGTTCTTTTCTCTTGTTTCTCAGCCATTGTTTTTGACAATGGTTTAATGTAGTTTTACAAACAAAGAGTGTTTAACTTGAAGAGGGCAGTCAGCAAGTCCACTTCATTCACACACAGCAAATTCCTACTGTTTCTTGTTCTGATACAGATACCTGTCATTTAATGACTTTTTTCCCGAGATGCTACATCAAATATTTAAACTAATTTTTTTTTTCTGTGCTGACATACAGACAATGCTTTTTGTTTGTGAATTCTGAACACAGTTCTTCTCCTGTTCTCCTTATTTCCTGCATTTTCTGGATCTGCTATTCTTCAAATGATAAATGCATGCTCACCTGGATGAAACAATACTCCTCCATCCCTCAAAGAACTGCGCAGATCAGTATGTTCTGATACAACCATAAGGATGGGGCAAGTAGATTTATGAGGACAAACTCCTGCATACACCAGCCAAGGATATAGAAACATTTAAATAGAAGTTTTCAGGTATAGTATTGGCCAGAAGAAGGTGTTGGAGTCAGCACAGCATGACCAATCTGTAATGCATGGAGCTAATCACTTCCAAAGTGTGATCTGCAGGTTACCGGTGGTCCAGCGGTATAACCAGATCTCTTTTAAAACATTTTCATTTAGAAGTTTGATAACAAGGGTGCCTGCTACCCCAGGAGAAAAACTGAGGTTGACTGTGGTCCATGGCCCAGTACGGACAGGGAGTCACTGTGTAGCATTGCACCTCATTAAGTCATATTATATTTTGTACAGGTTTCCTCATTGGAAAGGATAGCTAACTTACCAGAACACCAGTCTTGGCATGCATGAAACTCTCCTTCCCCGACAGATATTTTTAGCCCAGTTAGCAGAAGCCTGTGTTTTCAGGGCTGGTGTCAGAAAGCTCAGCACCCGTTAGAAATGAGAGGTAGGAGACTCATTTGTCCAAACTTTGGAGAAAACCCTGTCTCACGTTTTGAATACCCTACTTGGACTCCAGGTGACAGCCCAAAGGCACAGGTCACCCTCCGTCCAGTGTTGTATCTGCTAGCTACAGATAGGTATCTCAAATAGCTTCTGGGGCATCGAAAGGTTTTTGTTTAGACAAATGTATCAGACTTCGGCTTCAGTGAAATGCGTTTGGGCAATTTGTAAAACAAAAATGCGTAGGAAGATTTCTTGCCTTCCAAGGTATTCTAAATTGGACTGCTGACCATCACATCCATGAAAAATTGTCTCCAGGAATGGAAAATCATTATCTGTGTAGGTATTTAAACTTTTCCTTTATATCTCCTGGAAAAGCAGAGATATTGGGTCAACTAAGTTCACTATGGAAGAAGTCAAATGATTTACCTTTCCTTTAGGACTCTTCTGATTCGCTGGGTACATGAAGATCCCGCCATACATCAACGTACGGTGAACATCAGCTACCATGGAGCCCACATACCTGGCACCATATGGGGAACTGCCATCCTGAAAAACATAGGGTAAAGCTTTGTATCTATCAAGCTAGGCAGCTGGTAACACAACAAAATGTCGTTTTGTTATAAACCAGACATCAAAGTTGCTTAAATCAACTGCTGCTTATAGCACACTGTAAATGCCTAAACCAACCCAAAATTTAGCTTTTTCTAAAATGCGTGACTATCTATGAGATTCCAAAAAGAGCACTTTAGAGCTTTATTTACTAATTCGAGTGCACAACAATGCGATGTCAACCCCCAGTCTGTGAACGAACAAAGGCTGAAAACAGTGAGTGAAAAAGCTTCTTCCCATGATCGGAGTAAGGTATCCAGCCAACTGCTGATCCTTTGCTAGCTCCTAAGCCACGAGGTGAGGGGGAAAATGTCACTTTTTGCTACAAGTCCAGAGAGTTCCCAGGGGGCTCTGGCTGTTTTCCTTCTAGCTTACCTGCTACGTTGTGAAACTGGTCAGAGCATTCATTTTGGAACTTGATCTGGGAGACAGGAATCTCTTTGCAAATGTAGTTTTTCTCACTTTCAGCTTAGACGTTAACGTTTTTGAAGGACATGTCTTTTTAGGGAGAGCAGTCAGGAAAACACTCACGTCACTCTTAGGGTTGCTGATGATAACAATGGTATGGCGGAAAGTACGGAGGACGAGCATGGTGACTTGAACAAATAGAAGTAATATAAACTAAATAAGCTCCAGCAGGAGAAAAGCATCATATGAAGGACTTTTACAAAGAGGAATTACGCAATAAAGCTATAAACTGAAGGAAAGCTCTTTGAAAGCTAGTATGCCAGAAAGTCTTTTGGGTATTGTGACATTTTTCAGTCTCTCTCTTCAATGAAGCAGAAGAGGAATCCTGGCCTTTCCCAGAAAATTACTGAAGGCTGGAGCGTCACATACATTTAATACTCTGCATATTTGTGTGGTACAATGCTAAAAGTTTGAAGAGGACCTCTGCATGCTTTTTCCATCTGGATCAATTGTCTAGTAACAGGTCTTGCTGCTCTCTGCAAACCTTGCCTTATGCTGATAGTAGTTTTGGAGAAATATATAAAGAGAGAACTTGTGCAGCAATGCCAGCTCCGAGAACAAAGCCATCACAAGTTAGTCTCCCAACAACATCATGAAGTTAGTTGGGTGAAAAAAACATGCAAGTGGGAGGGGGAAAAAGTAGATGAAAAAAAAAATGTTCTTCTGTTTTGAAATCACTTTTTCAAACTGCTCTATGCAACTGTGAAGTTTTGATATTTTTCTCTCTTTTGAAATGGGAACAGATTCTCTTGTAATTACACAATATGATGTAATACAATACTATAGGAACTTGAGTCCTGAGAAAACCACTAAATATGAGGCTTGTGATATTTGTTACAGCTGGTAGTAAAATTGGAATAGGGAACTGTTCTGGCCTATGCAATCCTTGTTCAGCTGCACTCGTGCTATTTCCCATGCTGCTTTCTTATTGTATATATTAGAAGAGCTGTTGAAAATTCAGAGGAAAACAGTAAAAAGTATGAAAGCCTTGATGGAAAAGACACAGCCTGGAGCTTTTATGTTTTCTTTGTCTTGTTTAAACCTGGCTGTTGGTCGTACTATTTCCAGACACAACTGAAAAATACTTTCAAGTATTTGATTCCTTAATTCCCATGGTTTACCCTCAAATAATCACATATTTAGACGTTAGATGATAGCTCCTCCATCTCACGGCTGTTTGCACCTGTGACCTTGCAGCTGTAAAATCTGAGGTTAGAAAAAAACACCGTAAAGAGGGGCCAGAGAGAAGTCTGCAGTTTTAACAAAAGACAATTTTCAGGGAAAGATGTGATTATAATCTGAAATTACCTTTAAAAATACAGTTAAAGGAAGAGCTCTCTTTTATGGTTTCAGAAGGTGATGAAGCAAGTCTTGAAAAAACTTTGTTGAACTTGAATACTGACAACAAGTAGGCCATGGCACAGGCTGCATTTACAACCTTATCAGATAAGAAGTCTGCACCCTGCAAGGGTAAAACTTGCTAAGCATGAGCTGCCCAGCTGAACTGCTTATGTACAAATCAAACGCTTTTGGGATGTGCTGAGCTTCCTACTTGTGTTCAGGTCATTTATGCAGCTTACGTGTACTCGGGCAGTGTTATGTCAGCTTAGTGAAAGGCCACAGAGAATTTTAGTTGTCTCTTATCTTGATAGGAATGCACTGCTCAGCACAGTGCTGAGACTGTGCTGAGAAAAATATAGACCACACATTGCTCCATTCTAGTACAGTGGTCACTCAAACTGCAGACTGAAGTCAGATTTTTCATTTCCCCTAGTGTCCAGCTACTTGCACAGGAGTAATAAATAGTCCCTCTAGTTTAGTCCCTTTAGAAACTTCTTGTTTCTCCAGTTTAGCCACTTGTATATTTATCTTACAGATGAGAAACTTAATATGTGTTACATGCTTGCATATACGCCGGGCATATCGCCCAGGCTTTCTTCTCAAGGAAAATAACAGGGCATGAACGCTAGAGAAATTCGTCTCCACTTCTCAGTAATGCCAAACTGTATTTGCCCAGTAAGAACTTCACACTGGTTCAGCTGATGCTAATGAAAGAGCTGGAGAGCCTTGATGTTCCCTTAGTCAGTATCCATGGCATTTGAGTAAAGTTGTGGTTTCTATTAGTTTCACTCTTTCTGCTGCTTTTCTTTGCTTAACCTAAAGGAATGAAAGGGTTTATAATGTATAGGTCCTGTGTTTTTTTTTTTTTCCCCCTTCATGATATGATCAAAGTCTCTTTCTCACCTTTTCTACTACCTTGTGTGACAGCTATATTCCTCTGCAGGAGAGCGAGACCGTGTTTTTCTTGCATTACTGTGATGACTAGGAGAGTATGGGGGAAAAAAATCCCTTTCCTACAGACCACAACAGCAACTCCCTGCATCACACCTTTATGATGTACAGTTACAGTGACAAAAGCACAGTGCTTTTCTTAGCTTTTTCATGTCACTCAGGCATAGCTGGGCTGGCAGGAGAAGGCTTCCTGCTGTGTGTCCAGGTGCCGTTCCTGTAGTATTGCTACGACAGGTCCTTAACCACTGGGTCTCCACTGCAAGGCTCTTGGCCAACATGCTGCCGTTTCTCTTGTGGCCATAGGCAATTAAGTTGAAAAGAAGTGGAACAGGAAAGTATGGTGGTGCCTGTGGTATGTTTGTTTGTTCTGCCATCGATGAACCAGTGCCAGCTGGAGACTAGGGCCATATTACTGGGAGAACAACTCACTTTGGAAAGAGGTTGGAGGGAAGTTTGACCAGACACAGCTTTTGCGGCAGCAGTGCCTGTTATACAAAGCATGCTGGACTAGAGCCTTGCAAAGAGCAGCTTGCTCTTCCAGCTGGTCAAGCAGCAGGAGGTTTTGTGATGCTTAACCAAAAAATTAGCTTTACTCTGGACTGTCGTTACAGAAGAAATGGTTGCATCTAGACAGGTACTTCCCACTGTGCTCCACATGGCAATGGTAAGAGGCTTACAGCTGATCTACAGAACTATGTCCCCTTTCTAGTGCTTTTAATTCAAGTATGAAGCCTTAGATGAATGGTAGCCCACAAGGAGTTTTGACAGTCAGCCTGGCTCTGTAGTCCAAAAAGCCTGGTCACTGTCATTAGATGGCAAGGGAAAATCTCTCCCCTCCACACAAAAATTCCCTCTGTTATGTTTAGTGGTCAAGGACAGTGATATAGAATAAGAAATATGTTATGGGCATCATTATATTTTGTTTTTCTGCTCTATTTTTAGCTCTTCTATTTCCTGTGGCAATGTTGGTGAATCATCTGAACAGCACGTTGGCCAAGAACTGGGGGACGGGTGAACTGGGGATAGGACCAAGGAGGGAAAAAAGAGGCATTAGAAAGCAACAAAAAACTGAAATTGGTGCCTGGTCTGGCCTGGCCCTGGCTAATCAGTCTGCTAGCATACTGCTTGCTTTAAAGTGACAAAAACATCTTCTGCCAAGTAGCAGAAGATGACGCTTTTCCCCAAATGAAGCACAAGTTTGAGATTAAATAGTGTTTGTAAATGAGGTTCTTCCTGTATGTCCTGACCTAAGGATTTAGTAAATCACATGATAGAGATGATCTTGCAGAGCCTGTGGTGATATATTGCTGTCTCTCTGGTCTTTCCCCAAAGTGTTTGAAATCTGTAAGAAATCTCTAATTCCATAAGTATTCAACTTTTTCCTCTTTGTCTGGTGGTGTTTATTTGTTTAGGTTTTTTAAAACACCATTTGGGTGGTTTGTGAAAACATAAGTAAATAAATCCATTTTCAGTGCATAGTACTGAATACATAGCTCAGCATACTATGGACAGTGCAAGAAGCCCAGCAGCTATTTCCCAACCAGGTTAGTTGTCAGACAGCAGGAAAGCTGCGCAGGTGGCTTCCACTTCTCCAGCACCTAGGCTGAAAGCTCCTGCTGGAGTTTCAAAGTTACTCACTAAACATATGCAAAATGCTGTGAGGTGACACCCTCTACAGAGACGATCTAGAGTAATATGCATGAGAGCCTTTTCCCAGACATCAGCATTGCAGCTCTAGTCAGGGCAGTAAGATCAGATTTGCAGCTCAGAAGGAACCTTTCCCAGAGATGTAGCTTAAAGTCTTATTCATTGCCTTTTTCTTGTATAGCACCCTGAAGCTTTCTCCCGGATGCATTGGCTTTTACATGTGCCCTATAAGAAATCTGAATAACTAATAGCTTAAAAAAAATCCCATAGATGTCTTTATTTTAGTAGGAAGAGGATTAAAACCAGCTTCCTGGCTAAAGTCAGTCTTGAGGGGTTACATTTCACCACGTTTTGCTGTGGCTTACTGGTCGCATATAGTTGCACTTTCCAGAGAGCTTCCAGGTAACATTGAAAGCTTGTGTTGTGTCCTCGTAGCATTGACCAGAGGCAGTACAGAGCTGCGGGTGCCCATGAGGGTGTTCATCAGACCTAGAAAATTTTCAGCTTTGTCTCCTTGAAGGGTACGATATAATTTTCTTAAAAAAGTTAAGAGTTGTGTCTCCCACTCTCCTTTATTAACGTATGGGCTGTTTTGTGCTCCATAAGAGGCAAGCAGGCAGTGCAAGCACTATACTGCGTTGCTCAGATGTAAAAGTGTACGGGAAGAGTAAGGTTATTCTTCCCAAATTCCTTCAATTACCTTCTGAGCAGTAAATGGGATCTAGCCCCACATGCACAACTGCATACATGACTGAGTTGCATATTCAAATATGCACGTTTTGCTCGCACAGTTTCGGAGGTTTGTTGAAAAGCCTGGTTCTTCATGTACGGCAGCTCTTCCTTCGCTCAACAATGGACTAGCTATAAATTTGTTTACCAAAGTCTAAGCTGCAAAACAGTGTCAGGGCATTGGAAACTAACACCTTAGCTGTGGAGCCAAAATGAACCAGATGGTATCAAAGGGTTATGAGGAGCTGAATTCAGCAAGGCAGCCACATGTGCTCCCTTCGGTCAGGACTGTGTGGAAGGCAGCGTTTGCCAGTGCACAGTGAATTGGGTACAGAGCAACTACTTCCTTACCTCAGGGAATTTCTTCTTTTGTAAATATTCTGTCATTGCAGGGTCAAAATACTTGGCATAACCTTCGTTGAGACTGTAGGTCTTCCCTTTCTTCTTGATTTTGACATCTTTATCCACCAAAATAAATTCCCCGAGAGCCTACAGAGGAACAGCAGAGACCAGTTATAAGCAGGCAGAAGAACATTTTGTCAGCTTTCCTAACAGTTGCCATGATAGAGATTGCAGAAACGCTAGCACAGCTTGGTCTTTTCATCACTAGTCTTGTATATAACTTCATAGCATTTCAAACAGATCAAAAATCACAGAATCAGTGTTAAGTTCAGGAAAACTTGCCATATAGGTAGTATAAACAAAAAGCAGTTCAACTGTAATTGTTAGCATATTGAATGAAGAAAAGTCACCCTCAGAAGTTGATGGACTGTGGGTACCATTCTCTTCGTGCCCACAGATTATGAGGTTACTAATTAATACATTATACTACCTTGTGATTCTTGAACTCTTCTTGCTTGCCTTACTTAATCTTACTTACACCTTGAAGCGACTAAAGTGGCCAGCTCCCTCCAGAAGTTGCCGTCCAGAGTTCAAATGAAACTTCCACCTCTGAGAGAATGATCTCTTTACTGAGCTTATTGATAAAGTGAATGTGGCGTTTCGAAAACAATCAGACCTTTGATTAAACAGAATTTCTATGTTATTGCCTAAATCTAATGCTGGTTTTTCAAAGGGGCAGTCTCCTCTCATTCCCTCAATAACTGTTGTGGAGTTCCTGGGCTGGATGTTGAGGATCGACGTATGTCTAATTGTATGGGCACAATTCTGCTCTTGAAAATTGAGTATGCCAGTCAGAGCATTTAGCCATAAAACTGAATTGCTCTCAGGGAATCGGACATGTCCATGCATGCACGGTATCAGTCAATTGTCCTCAACCCGGTTCACACACTGAACAAGTTGAGGTTGTTTTACAAACAGGAAAGGCAAAAACAAGAAAAAAGCAGGAGTCCTTTAAGAGGAGGCAAAGACACTGTGCAGATTAAATTTTTCTGAAGTATTTCCATGTGCAAACCAGCAGTCTGGTTTGAATGAACAGGATCTCAAATGCTATTTGGCTTACTATTGTTCACTGAATAGAAGAAAAAAAAAACTCCACAGAAGTATTGCAAACAACACACACATGTACTATTGAGTACTAGTAAGATACAGGAGGGCTGCGAGGAGAGGTGGGTGAAGGGAGAACAGCATAGATTGTCTCAATTTCAGAGATGAGGAGCAGCAAAAATGAGTAGACCCAGATAGGTAACTTCTAAAGGGTAATAGCAATGTTATTAACGTTGTGATTGTACCGGATCGAGCATGAAGCAGTCGACTCCTTGCCCAGTGGAGAGGGCCACCAGGGTAGCGCTGCCATACAGGGCATATCCTGCAGCAACAATATTGCGTCCGGGCTGCAAAGCATCTTTTTCAGAGGGCTCATCATTTGTTTCCTGAGGAAAGAGTTACCATAGGACTGAAAGTTAAATTCTCATGGGAAACAACTGAAAGAACATTTCAGTAATAGACACTTGGAGCAGATTTCCTTCTTCTGTCAACCTAGGCCTTTGAAACAATCAAAACAGAGGTGGTTCCCACTAGTTCAGAGCAAGTTTGGTACAAGCATATGTGCATGGTGGGACAGGCTGGTGGGAGTTTATTTTATACAAGTCATGCAGTCAATGTGATACATGCAACAAAGCTGATACCACTTGGAATATGAGTTCAAGAGCATCAGAAATCTGAGACAGAAAAGAGGTAGTAACTTTTCAGAAAGTTTAAACATAAGCTCTCTTGCTGATATCTTTTTCAGGGATAATTGTGAGGGAGAATGCAGTAATCAGCATTTCATGCCTTGCAGAAAGATTGCTTCCAGTAAAAGGATAGAGTAAAAGGATAGGAGTACTCTAGGAGTAGAGTAAAAGGATAGATGATGCAACATGATGGAATGAAAATTGTGCCTAGATTTCTGCTGGTAACTGAGGTGTGATTAATGTGCGCACATACACAATGTATGTGTCTGGGTATATAATGTGTGTGTGTGTGTGTATATATATGTTCATGTATAACTTTTGCATATCATTTTACTCGAGTTTTTTAATCTACTATCAATTTCCAGCACTCATATTCCCATTTGATCCTCTGGTTATCATTGAACAAGAATAGCCTAAGCTATAAGCCTAACCTTATATATTAATATATAAATATTTCCAGCCAGCTCTCAAGTGTGCCTCAGCCACAAGAGAGATTGACTGGTGGGATGAGAAAGAAGACCACCCTAGAGTACTTGGGAATACGGACTCCAGCCTGCACTTCCTGGGCAAGCTGTTTAAACTCCCCTCTCCCTCTCTCCTGCTTAAGCTAACCACAACATGGATAGGGAATGCTTGATATTAATGTCTAATAATTATCCTAAAAGAATTTGTCAGCTGTGGCAGATTTTCTACCTGTTTTCTACTGCTGGTTTATTAGGAATTAAAATAAGCCCCTCCGTCCCTGTCTCAATTAACTGGTTCAGTGGCTTAATCAAATTGAGTAGCAGCTGGGTAGAAATCTCAGATCTATCCCAAAGTATCTGCTTTAAAACAAAAACAAAATCACTAGAGGCTGTTTTGTGTAGGAAAGCAAATAGTTAAGACTGAGTAAATGCTTTAAAAAATCAAGAATACTTTCCATGGAATGTTTCCACAGGAAGATAAAAACCTTGAAACAAATTGACAAATTCTCTACCACGCCTGGAGGCAGGGAGGTCCCAGAGTGCCTGTCAGGGCCCCAGCAAGGTGAAAGGCCATGGGTATTGGGGGGATCAGGTTCATCATTGTATGCCAGCCGTTAGAGGAAAACAGAGGCATGGGGCACCAAAACTACATCTTTCATGACATGCGCAGGCAGTAGTGCCACATCAAAATGTTTTCTTCTGAAGCGGAAAGGTTATGGTTGAAAACATTTGTTGCTTTAGCTTTCAGAGGTTTTTTTCTTGTATTTTGCTCAAAGTCCTCCCCACCCCTTGTTTTGCCAAGTTTTTCTGTGGAGGAAATCCTTTTTTTTTTCCCGCCTACCATGGAGACTGAAATATAGCATGTGCAATACACCTGGCATGTAGTCCCTAAGAATCACTCTGTGTCAAACTGCTTATTCAGAAAGGTAATAATGCATGTAATAAAGGCAGACTAGTAAAAGCACTCGTTAGCACTAGTTAGTGCACTAGTAAAGGCACTAGTTAAAGCATTTGTATACACCAGAAGTTTGCATATTGACTATCAGCTCTCTACTAAACAATCTTTTTCAAAACCATCTATTATACCTTCCATAGTATCTTTTCTTTTAAAAATGCATCCTCAATGGCATACGCATCTTAGCATCTAAAGCAATATTGTCTATAGTAGACTTATTTGCAATATTAAATGCAGAATTAAGCATACTGCTACACGGCTCATTACAAACATATTTCATTTTTTCTAGCTTTTTATATATTTTCCTAATTTAAAAAATGCTGCTTTAATTTTGTATAAATACAATAAAGAGGTTTATTTTAAAGGACATAGTGTTTATACACAGTATATGTAACTAGAGGTTTTATGTGATGTTGTTTTAAAATACATTTTTCTGAGATGAGCTTTTCAGCCCTATCACTGGAATGCTTTTTTCTCTCTATGTTTATACGGCTGAGAAACCATACACTTATTGACTATTTTGAAAAAACAAAGGAATCTCTCCTCTGGAGGATGGACATTTGGCCAGAATGCACTTGGTTTTTAGTCCTTAGCTGCAACTGTGTTTTCAAAAGCCAGCTTCCAAATGAAGAAAAAAAGTTCAGCTTCAAACAAATTTTTGTAGAGCTTATTGGAGTGTAAAAAAGCCAAAGATCAGCTGATATTTCATTGTTAACACTGAAGTAATTATGTCCTGCCAAGGGCTGTGTAATACAAAACAAACCAGAGAATTAAGCTGAACAGTAGACTCGGATAACTGCTGAATATTTTCACTTCTTTCTGGTGTGCAGATGGAATTTCCTTTCTGTTCCATGTTGGCTGGGAGATGGACGCAGTGAAATTTCTTTATGCAAATCTTTGAAATAGTCTTTAGAATATAAAGACTGCACAGACTGAAGGTTCGATCTCTGACAAAGTCACTTCAGTGCTTTGTGGCTGGGAAGCAGATAAAATAAGTTCCATGGAGTCAGGTACCCTCAGGCGATACCTAAGTTTGAAAATTTTTGCATGTATGATTTGCCTACATCATGCATGGGAGTTCTCCTCAGCACTGGGAGTAGCTCCAGAAGGTCTTGATTTCCAGGTCTCCATTCATATCATATGTTTCATGTTCTGACTCCTTATACCTTCTCTGTGGGGAAAAAAGGATATTCCTTATGGCAATTATGGAGGGGCAAATACATCTGGGATCTGGGCAAAGCTGAAAATAAAGAAATAAAGCAAAGTAGTAGTAATAGCACACAGATGGAGTGTGAATTGTGCATTGCAGATTCAGCTCAGTGGGGTGAAGAATGGGGAAGAATCCAGGCAAAAAAAATATTTTTTTTATCCCCAGAGCCTGACACTCCACCAACTGAGGGCATCCCACCAGGCAGTGACTGTCAAGGTGCTGAGGAACCCCGCTCACTTCAGCTTCAGCCAGTCTTCTCCCTTAGCGCCGCTGTATGGACCACCGCCTTCATAACAGTACCGCCATCCTTCAGTAGGAAAAAGGTAGGTGGAAAATGAAATAAACCTAAGATGGCACTTATTTCCTGATAGCTCTTCTAAGAAACCGATACAGGGGTTTTCTCACAGGAGGTGATGATACCTGAGGCTGTTTGTGGCGATCCTGTCTGCATATCAGGAGCAGCAATGGCGAATCATATTAAGGTTTGAAATGTATTGACTAACTCTGGCCTTCATGGAAAAGTGTTGACTTTCTTCTTCCTAAAATGAAGCCAATATTTCAGTTCTGGAGTGTGTGCCTTTGGGAATGAAGTTAAGGCACTGGCATGGTGAGAAAATCAGCCATGCGAACATCTGAGAATTGGAAGGTACCAAACATCAGACAGGGGCTGAGAATGACCCGTTGGAAGTAGACTTGTTCTAGCTTTTCCAAAATGATGTTCTTGCAATTTAAATGGCTTGAAATAAATTTATACTTTCTTTCTTAAAGCATTTTCTTCCACTGGGGTAAACATGTCACTTTTATTCCTTTCACGCTACCCTACAGCAACAATTATTAAAGCTCCTATCATTATTTGTTTATTTTAAAGGATTTGAAGTTAGAAGTTAAAATATTTCTCAGTAAAACTATTATGTGAGAGGAAGGCGTATTAATATAAACTTTGGAATTAGCGTTGTAAAGAAAAGAATTATCCAAGTGAAAGTCTGTGAATGCAGCGCTGCTTCTATCTTTACAGGAGAAATTGGTAAGTTATTCTGGTAATTAAAAAACTGTGCTTCATCCTAGTGGCACTGTTTTCATTTGGGTATAAAGAATTTGCACTAAGCAATGTAAATAACTTTTTACAAAGAACTGATGAGTATCCACTCGCATGAAAAACAATAACTTAGAAACAGTGTTTTCAATGAATATATTAATGTATATTAGAATAGCAGTTATGGAAAACTTAGAAAATGAGTGGAAAACTTCAGTGTTTGGAAATAACATGAAATCTTTGCAAAACGTTACTATTCCGAAGCAAAATCCTGGGGAAGGCTAGGAAGTTCATTGCCTTTGCATGAATTAACAAGTGAGTTAAAGAGTATAGAGAAGCCTAATCTGTATTTCACTGAGCTAAGTTACACGAATCACACTGATCACTTGCCCTGGGAGTTACGTGGCGTAAACTAAACACAACACTTCTTCTTCCAGACAGAAAGCTACTATTTAATATTTGGAATGCAACGCTTACCATCTTTAGGCAGCAGCTGTGCGTTGTCTGCTATGCTTATCTTAAATGTAGGGAGGTGGGTAGTCTCTGAGGCTATATTTCTAGCGGTAAACAAAGGGATAAGGGCCCCATTTCTGACCATGAGGGCATGTGGCATGGCTGCTGCTCAGCTCTCTTCCCTACAGAAACCAAGGCAGAAGATCCGCTCAATGAGTACGAGCCATGCCCAGGCGGTGTCTTGGAGAGAGCTGGCCTGCCTGGGTGACCCTGTGACAGGGGCTTATCCTAAAAATTAATGTCACGGGCAGCCACTGGGTTTGTGCTGTCACTCTGCTCAGCTTGTGCCATGACTCTGCCTGGTTTACAGGTAGATGTGTTCTCGCTGGTGATAATTGGAATATCACCTACCTTACACGTAAAAAATCATGATTAGCTTGAAAGTGATGGGCTAAAAGATGAGAGGGCCTTGAAAAGATATCCTCATTCCTCGTGCTTTGAGATGTAGTGTTTGAGTTTGTAAGCCTTCATTTGCAGTCACAAGGGATGTAAAACTTACTTAAAAAAAAAGTGGGGGGAGGCTCCCACAGTCATATGACTGTGAACACAGGCTTTAGGAAAAACACCAACTGCTGGGAGATTAGCAGTCAAATCACAAGACTTGGCACAACTCTTAACTATTAGCAATTGTTAATTGGCTGCAGAGCAGCCGTTCCAGCTGGGCTCGGGCAGCTGGAGGTGACCACTTCTCACCATCCTTAGGAGGCCTCCATTGTTACCATCTGCATAAACATGCATGGGGAGGCCACCGCTCTGGTAACTGTAATGTGGTCTGGGCAGTGACCTTCAGCCTCAGCCCTCCGCAGTATCATGGAAGACAAATAATGAAATTAGTAGCCATGGTGGACACTAGAGCTCCAGGTGAGCCTGCAGGTTTGACTCTGCACCACAACACCCTTCCCCTTTCCTGCAGTGAGTAAAGCACGACTGAAGTAGCTCACCAGCTGCCCAGACCCACGAGAGCGGTTTATTGAAGTGCCCATGTGTCTCAAGGAAGGAAGTGCCAGCAATTTCCTAGGGCTAAGTACCCACTTCCAAGGAATTCAGAAAGCTCTTTAGCACAGGTGGATCACAAGTGTCTCATCTGCTCTTTCTAAAGAGCTGCTGAGCCCAAAGCTGCTTAACGTTAAGGGCCTAGGAATGAAACTAAGCAAGCTCACATACCCAGAACATTTTGTTTTCGTCAAGTGAATCGTGCTTTGTTCATCCTCTTACCTTTTTGTAGATAGCAAATATTGTTCCTATCGGTGCCAAGCAATCTATATTGGATGAGCCATCAAGGGGATCAAAGCATACCACGTATTTCCCCTAAAACAGAAGTAGCAATTGAAGCATTAAATGATATTTCCCTTTACTTGGTAAAACCCATTTTTTTATGCCTGTGTTCAGCGTTCCTAGTGCATTTGATGGAGCTCCTCCGGGAAGGCGGCACTATTGGCCCAGTAGCACGCTGCCCTTTACCTACTGGGCCAGCCACCAAAACAGGAGAGGGCCTGCTCCTGCTTAGACAGCACAAAATTGTGTGACAGAGGAGCAGTCCTCTACCTCCGAGCAGCGTGAGAAGCAGCTCAAAAGCAAAAGGAGAGAGTCATTCTGAAGGGAGCAGCTTGCTTTAATAAATGGGTTTTGTTACATTTTATTCTGAACTAAGGGATTTGCCTGTAATGTGAGATATGAGGGTGAGAAGTAAGAGAGAGATGGTCTTGGGAAAACATAGGTTAGATTAAGGTAAGCACTGTCTCAGTGCAACAGGTTCTCCTCCTGGAGGAGCCCCACTGAAGCAGTCACGTGTTTCCTCTGGACATACAATTTAAAATCCAGTTCTGCCAGACCATCATCTTATTTTATCCTACCTAAATAATAACACTATTCAAAACAGCTACACTAATGGTCAAGGAAAGTAATAGCACGCTTAAACCTGGGATCTGGCGTGTGTTTACAAGCTCCAGAATTATTGTTCCCCCTGCCCCTTAACCAAAGTTTAATAACGATTTCCCCCCCAACAGCTCCTTTAGTGGCTGAGCTCATATCTCAACCACAGTTAATAATCAAAGCAATGCAATAATAATGCAAATTTGCTGAATGCCCTTCGGAAGAGTTGGTCTGGGGGCCAAGCCCATGTTTCATAGTTGAAACAAGAGTGCCACCTGCTGCTGCCTGAGCCGAAAACCCTCTGAAGTCAAAGGCTGCACAGACCCGCTTGTCTTTGGGGGTGATGATGGCCTCCTTGTTCTCCTCCGTTACCAGGACACAAGTGCTGTAGGATGACTGGAGCATATTGATCACCAGGGAGTTGGACAACACATCCAGCTTCTTCACTTCATCACCAGTCACATTCATAGTGCCAGCAATGCCAAACCTGGAGAAGGAGAAGGGGTAGTTGGCAGGCATGTTATTTTCTGCTGCTGGGACAGCTCACGCAGCTGTTCCATGCTTTGTGATAGTCCTTTAATGCCTGTCCCATAGGTCCTCAGCTTCCCAGAAATCAGGAGCTTGAAAGATACCTCTGAATAATTTGCTATTCTAAACTGTATCTCAGAATCAAGAGCTATCTGTTTTACCTGGTGACACTGGAGTAGGTTAGGTTATGATGCTTCCTTTCTATAGCACTGATTTTAATAATATGGTTTTATATATATATATATTAAGCTTCTGGCTCTTCTTTGTGGAGAGATAGAGGCACACATGCAGGCAGATGGAAGCCAGTCACCCACATTGAAAGTCTGCCACAGGGACTTCCAAAAGATCATGGCTAGCTATAGTAATTTGAATGATGCAAATTACTCGTTTATGTGTTTGGGTAGTTTGGATATTTCTTGGTCATCCCTAGAAGCTTTTATTTTTCACTACACATTATGCTCCACACCTGAAAAATGGGCGTGATAGTACTGATTCAATTCATGATTTGCAAAGATCATTGAAGTCTTTGAGCAAATACTAAACAGAAGTGCAGAAAAAAAAACAAAACCAGGATGCCATACATGTTGGTGTTTCCACAGCTAAAAAACAGATAATTGTCTTCCATACACAGATTTTGTCCCCATCTGCTTTACATGTGTGTGTGTGTGTATTTATATAAAAACCCACACACATACACACACATACAAATGCATACACCCAAGCATATATTTCAATACATAAACCAGAAAAAGTATATCTTAAATATACAGTATAATTAGTGATTTCTAGCCCTCTGAGCTGCTTCTGGCAGATCATCATTAAAAAATTTACCTGTATGTCTTATCCAAGTGGCTGCATGAAGTGGAGCCAACCAGCTCAAATCATTCCAGGTTTTGCTAGGTCAATTCTTTGATTACATTTTCTAAAACACTAGATGTCAAGTTAATGTGCTTGCTTTTCATATAGGGCCTTTCCAGTCTTCCCATCTATAACCTTAACAGTACATGGGGCAGGAGGGGAGAACGTACTCAGGAATGCATGTGGCATTTCTCATAGGGCTGCTGCTTTATACCATGACTCATACTGCCATCAGGGATCTGGACTCCCCAAGATAAGGCGAGCCCTGGTTTACACAGCTCTGGCACTGTGCTTGTACATTAGGAGAAAATATGACAGTATGCTACTCTGCAAATTCACAAAAGATTTAAAAATACTCTAATATCAACATTTACAAAGGGTTATGAGGTGAATAGTAGGGCACTGAAGCTCTGGCTGAAGTTTGAAGACTAAAATATTACACTACTGCAATTAGTCTAAATGGCCACCTTGGGCCCAATACTGAAATGCTCCAGAAAAGGAGATCTCGAATTTCCCACTCTTGATAGTCCACACTCTGCCTTCATGCCTACAGTCACTTGGCTTAAAAAAGACACTTGCAATGTATTTAGGAATCCCTGTCCTTTTCCCTGTGCAAGAATATTTCTCTACCACCTCTTCCTCCTCCTCCTCCCCGTATTTCTAAGTAGGACTCACATGTGGGCAAGGCCTGCCTTCCTGACCGCGGAGGAAATGGCCTTTATGGCTGTCAGCATGGAGTTGAGCAGCTGCGTTAGCTCCCCTGTAGCTCCTTTCACTCGGCGCCCCTTTTCCATAACAAATCGCGTGAGCGTCAGCATATCTGTTTCGAAGGGGGTTCTGTCGGACATTTTCGCTGGGTGCTGGGGTTCCCCTCTTCTCGCCCACACAAGTCGCTTCCTCACCGTGCCGTGCTCCCGAGTAGCTCTTTTATTTTAAGGGGAAGCTGTTGGCTCTGTTGCCGGTCTGAGTTTATTAAAACGTCCCCAAGACCATGTGATTGAGTGCTCAGAACAGCTGCGCCCTGGCCCCCCTCCTCCGGGACACTGCAAAGCCGCCCAAGACAGCGAATACTGCCTCTCGGCCACCCTCCCCAAGGGACAAGGCTAGTGATGTGTGCACCTAATCGTGTGCTGGAATTGTGCTGTTAGACAGTTTCTGCCGCCAGCACTGTGGGTCTGGCTGGTGAAGCTCCCATCCTCAATCCCCTCGGTCCCCTGTAGGCCCTTCCCCTTCTGGCCTCCTTCGCGGACAGTGAGCACGGGGATCTCCAAGGCGCCTGGTGCAATTCAGGGGAATCAACAGAAGAAGCAGAGTGGCTGGTTCAGGTTACAGGTGCTTTTAGCTGAGCATCAGGCTTAAATCACTGCCTGTATCTGAACCAGGAGTATTTAACCACCCAATAGCTGGGGGTGTTAACTCATCACACATGGAAAATACTTCAGCCCGGGCTAGGTCTTGTTTATGTTGGGGATTTTTTGCATAAGTTTACAAAAGGAGTACACTGAGCACCTAGTCATGCATTTATTAAAGGTGTTTTATGTTGCCAGTTAGTCTGCTGCAATCACATTTTAATGACTTTCGTTCCTAATCTAGGCAACTTGTAATATTATTGTGCTTGCATAAATGAGAGGCACTGGTGAGCTATGGCTTCATTGGTTGCTAAGTAATTATCTCTTCAATAACTTACAAATACAGCTTATCTGATTTAAGCGTATCTGTCATAACTCACAAAATGAAATTTTAAGGCAGCTCTGTTACAGTGATACAATATCTAAACATAGGCATATCTTATTTTGCAATTCTGCTACATATAATTCTCCCACCGTTTCCCTCCTGAGCAACATATTTGAATCTCATAATACTAATGTGAAGGCAGATATGAATGTAAGTGAACTAGGTACATGTGATCTGTAACACTGAAATTAGAGACTTCAATTACAGCATTTTCTTCCCACTCAGATGAAACAATAAGAACAATTGCATGTTGCTGTCTTCATTTTACTCGTTAGCAGCACCGTCTTCCTTTTAAGCTGAAGATCTGCAAAGCCTACAAATAAAACAAGAAAATCTAGAATTAAAGCAGAAAAGCTTTATTGTCATTACTCATTGAAGCCAAGTTACTGGACTAAAGTCATGCCAGGAATAAAACAAGCTACATTCACAAATGAAATTTATACCTGATTTTTTTCCTTTACATTTCTTTTCTAACCTTTAGCGTTTATTTGGATTTTTCTAAAAGCTTCTTTTCACCCATAAACTGTACATTACTTTGAGATTTATAATGGGCTTTGAGTGTAGAGTTTTTGTACCTTGAAATTAGCCTTTAGAAAAAGATCTCGAAGGCTCGCAGCACTGAACAGTACCAAGAAGTAGAAAGACATAGTTCTGTGCTGTTTGTGTCATGTGTGCTTACCTTTGGGGTTGTTTTTCATATTGCATTTCTAAGGAGGAAGATAGGCTGGCAAACAGTTAGTCAGGTGGCATAGCAGGTAAATTTTGCACTCTGTCTCCTAAAACAGTGGTAGAAGTAGAAAATGGTCTTGAATATTCCTTTTTTATTTCTTAACATTGTGATGACCTAGTTAAAAGTACCTGATACCATTGGCAAGGGAAGAATACCATGGGAAAAATAATCTGGATCACATTTTTTGCCAGTTTAGGAGACTTTATTTCTTTAAAAGGTTTTGTACGAAAACTTATGAGGCTGTAGGATAGCATATGGTGAAGCTATGAATACAAGAAGGGGGCAGAATTCACATTATAAGTGCAAACTGAGCTCTTCTGGCTTCACATACAGTACACTACATTCTGTATGTTATTTCATCACACGTCTCAGCCTGACCACTGCTAAAAAGCTTTTAATGTGCAATCTGTGCTGCATCATGAGAATGCAATTGGGATACCCAATCAATTTAGCAAATAAGAGATGGAGGCGGGGAGGCTGTGGCTTCTAACATTTGTTAAAAAAAAAAAATCACGTGGAGAACTTATTTACTATTGAATCCAACTGATCTTTTACACTGGTCAAAAAGACAAAGTTCAGTTCCACTCGTAACAGTAAGTTTGTTTTGGAGTTAATGGTTCAAAGGGTGTTCTCAGAGCTAATAAGGCCATTACTTGCTTCTTTTTTCTTTTCCTGAAAAATCCTCAATTGCTTTTTGTAAGTAATGATATGTTTTAGTATGGATAAAGTAAAATGCATTAAGCCACTGTTCAAGGAACACTCTTTCATTATGAAATTAATTCACATCAACACCTAAAGAAAATGAACTGTACTCCCAAGCTTTCCAGCAACATTGCAGCCGGCAGTGGAGCATGATTAGAAATTAAAGAATAGGATCTGCATAAAGGCATAAGTTTGGGCAGCGTGAAAGCTTGCCCTCTTTCATCTTGGTCAATATAAACTATTTTAATAATTACTGTGGAAGTCCCACTGAATAATAATAGTAATAAAAAAGAAAACCCTACTATTAAAGTGTATACACTATTACTATTTAAAGGGGGAAGGAAGGGTAG